ACCCACAGATAAACGAGACAGTGCATGACTCTTAACAATGATAAAGGCCTCATGGATGCCCCCAGGCTGTGCCCAGTCATGGAGAGGCAGCCTCAGCTTTCTGAGAGGTCACTCAGATTCAAGTGACAAGAATCCGGCCCCCATATCTGTAAGGGAACTGCTTTGCCGAGAGGAAGTGTGGTCACCACCATGGCCATCAGTTTTGCTTTTGCCTGCTCACGCCTGGCACCACACACACACACACACACACACACACACTATCAGTGTCTCATTTCCTTTTAGGGAGAAATCCTGCTTCCACCTTTAGTCTGTCTGGTTGCAGGTGCACAGGCTACTCAGGTCCAGCATTACCATCCTCTGGACCAAGAAGCAAGGCTGTGTTCCTGCTAGGCTCAGAGAGTCAACCTCACAAATGCGATTGGCACTTCTGCAAACAAAACACGCCCTTTTACTCCTGGGATTGCTAAACTAGAGGATCTAGATCTGGAGAGAACTTGCCTGAGAATGAAGATGACCTAGAACAAAATACATCTGTGGGTCACAGTTTTCAATGAAAATGTTTAAGACCCTGGATCCAGTGGTGCCTGAAGTCCACCTTGGACTTTTAAATTACTGAGTTAATACATTTGCTTTTTTTTTTTCTTTTTTCTGAAGTCATTTTGAGTGAGGGCTTGTATTACTAATCAGATTACTTCCATGAGAATTAGTAATTGAGACTTAGTACTAAAGACTAAAGCCTATTTATGTTGGTTTAAATGAGGAGACTACATAATGCCAAGTTGGAGTGGCCACATGTTCGTGTAAGCACAAATACTGGGGAGTTAGAGATGGATCACAGAAAGGACAAAAAAGTGAGAGTGATGGAGCAGATAAACGGGCAAAGGTGAGAAACCACAGGGCTCCAAAGAAAGTGCACGGAGCCTTTAGGAAAAGGAGATACCTGGGGCTTCTGGAAGGCCTTCTTTCTCCTCCTCCTGGGGTCTCCATTGTTCCTGCTTTGAAAACCGAAGGAGCCTGGCTGCCTTTCCTGCCCTCAGTTCTTTCTCCAGCCCTATGCTCTCCTATGGGTCTGAGGGGATTTCTCTTCCTCACCCCCCAAACTTCACAACCAGCAAGCAGCAGATTGGATGAGGGAGATAAGGAAAAGAAACTAATGGAGCCAGCCAGGGGAGAGCGCAGCCTGGGGAGAGGGAGGAGGGAGTGAAAGGCTGGGGTGAGGGAAAACTGAAAGTGCAGCACGTTGGGTCTTTTCGTGTGCCTGGTGCCCAGACATCCAGGCAGCTTAAACAAGCAGAATGGAAACCATGCCCCGCCTGCACACGTGCCTGTTGCCATGCCCTACTGCAATACTGCAGGTTGTCGTCTCCTGGTGCCCAGACATCCAGGCAGCTTAAACAAGCAGAATGGAAACCATGCCCCGCCTGCACACTTAGGAGGTTGTTGGCCAGTGTGCTGTTCGTGCTGGTCTGACCCTGGAGATTGAAGCTGAGCTTTAGAGCCCTCTAGCCTCCTGCACTGGCATCCTCAAGGGTGCTGTCATCATTTTGGTGGGCCCTTTGGCCTCCTCAGTCCCACCTGCGCGCTAACAGTCACTCCACGTTCGCCAGCCTCTCCCGGATGTCGCTGGCCTTAACCTTTCCCTCCCTTGGAGCGCCACACTCGTGCTCTGGGCACTCCGCTTGCTGGGAGACAGCTTCTTGGTGTCAGTGCTCGCCCTACGTGCTGGCTGGCTGGCTTGGGCTGGCATGGGCTTGAGGAGGGAAAGCAGCAGGCCAAGACGCCAGGGAAGTCCTGCCCTGGGGCAGCCTCGGGGCTCACAGACCCCAGCGTCTTCCTTCCTTGGTGGGACAGCTCTAGCACCTGCTGTCTGCTGCTGCTCCTCTTGCAGTCTTGGGGAGCCCAGACCAAGTCAGCCCGATGCATTCCTAGTGCCAGCTGCTCATGTCTCACCTGGATTTCTGTCTGGCTGCCCTCTAGTCCACTCCACAACTGAAAGTGCTTTTGAGAATGCAAAATTAATCATTTCCCTCCTCTACTCCTCATTGTTCCTGGGTAAAGTCCACACCCTTATATGGGCGACAAAAGATGCGCTGGTCCTTGGCAGGTCGCCCTTCAGCCCAGTTTCCCCACCCCATTCCCTCTTCTTACTCTCAACTCCAGCAATGAACAATTATTGCAAACTTTGCTCCTCATACCTCTAGGAAGCCTCCCTCCAAGGAGTTGAGAGTTGGGTTCGATGCGTCTTCTACTCACAGGCCCCTGCTCTCGCCTCCCCTCCCCTCAGCAAAGCTGCGTCCTCACTGCCTTTTCTACCGGAGCTGTGATCTTCAGCCTTGTTTATACCTTAGAAGCAACAGGGAACCTTTATGAGATGGAGATACCTGGGCCAGCCACAGCCCAACACCAGAATCTCTGCAAATGGGCCAGTAGTGGCCCGTCTGGAAAGCTCCCCAGGCTATTCCTACAAGCAGGCAAGGTGGAAACCTGCATTCTGGTAGCATGATCTCTGCTGAAGACAGGGCTGGGTTTCGGTTATTTTGTCTCTAGCCCCTGTCATGTGGTAGGAGGACCCTGGTAAATGTCGACGGTGGCTGCCTGCTACTGACTGCTGTCCTCCTGAGCCAGGTGCTGCTCGAAGGAGATAGATGAATACACAAGCAAACGCACTGGTGCATGCAGGAGAGGACCACCCACGTGCCTCTGGGAACTGGAGGCTCCAAAGAAGGGCCTGTCCCTTGAGATGTCTACTTGTCTAAATGCGGTGTAGCGTCTTGACAGGCTCCTAGTGTCCAGCCTGCGGCAGGACCATGGATGGTCACTGCTGCCTGCCACGTTACCAGCGGGTGGCCTGTAGCAGCCTGGATACCTGAGGGAGCTGGGAAGTAGGAGGTGGGGGCCAAGGGCCCCCACTGAGAAGGGAACTTTTGGCAGAAGGGCATCTTTAAAATTCTTTGGTTGTGCTGCTGGCCCCCAGCAGGGTGGGAAGGAAGCTGAGGCTTACAGCCCTCCTCTCAGTGAAAGAGCTAGAGAGTTCAACAAGCTGGAATCCTCTCCCAGCTTCCCCGGCAAGAAGAAAAATGTATGGTTTAATAAAAATGGCTGATTCCATTTCAAACAAGCAGCTCAAACCTACCTCTAAGTAGCTGCTGGTGAAATCTAGGCCCCAGCCCTGCTTCTAACGAGGTCCGAGGTTGGGGAAAGGCCTCTTTGGTAGCAATGGAGGTGGTCATAGGTCTTTGGTGAAGTCAGGTTCAGTGTGAGGTGTTTGAATGGAGTTGGGGCAAGGTCTTGATGTTGCTTTATTTATTTATTTATTTATTTTTCCTCCAGCATAAAGTAGGCTGTAAATGGCATTAGTTGTAACAAGGCAGCCCCCTGCGCTCTTGCGTAAGGGGCTGCTAAGGAAAAGGATTACCGAGAGGGTCCCCTGTAGGACTGGCCTCTGCCACCACTGTTCTGGGAGCTGCGCAGGCTCTACAGTGCTGCGTGGGCCTCTGCTTTGCATTGTTCTGTCTCCATGGCCAGCACAGTCAGGCGAGCAGGGTGGCATTCAGAGCCGCCCGGCCCCAGCTGCCAGTTCCCTGGTTATCTGAATTGAAGGGGTCAGAGGTTAAGTGAGAGATCAGAGTCCTCGGGTCAGGGGAAGAAAAACAAATCCCCAGAGCCTTCAGCTGCGCTCTTGAAGCGTGTAGGCCGCGCCCTCTGGCACAGACAGTGGATATCTTATACATGGCCCTGTCCTTTTCTGTTACCATGTAAATTGATTGATTTTCCCCCGTTTTAATTGAGTTAGGGGAATTTCATGGAGAAGACGGGAAAAAAAAAAAAAAAAGATCAGACAGGCTTTTGAATTTTGTTGCAGGCCCCAGAGGAGCAACTCCAGTTCTGGTCTCAGCTTTGTGAGAGGAAGCTGTTAACAATTGAATGCCTCAGTTTCTCTGTTTTCAAATGGCAAAGTCTAAGAGGTGATAGAGTGAAAAGGATCTCGGAAGCATGGGAACAGAGTCAAGATCAGATCATGCCTGCAAATGAAAAGGAAGGGGGCAGAATTTGAAGCTGGTTATTCTGTGGTTCTAATAAGCTCCTGGTTCTTCAGGTTCAAATGTGGGTATGTTAGTCACATTTCCATCGAAGGAACAAAATATTTGACACGCACGACTTACTTAAAGGAGGGGAGATTTATGTTGGCTCATGGTTTCAGAGGTTTAAAGTACAAGGTCACATGATTGGGTAGTTTCTTTAGACATGGCTCCCCAGTGAAAAGTATTCCAAGTCCTTCTTGCCTTGAACATAGACTTAGATGAGACAAGCCGAACACAGTGCCAAAAGCTTGTTTGAAAACTGCAGATGAATGGGTATGAGAGAAACCAGCTCTGTAGAGCAAACTTGGGCCGAACAAGAGAAAAAGAAGATAAAAGCAAAAATAAAAGTACACGCTACATCTGAGAAATGCAGTGTGACCTACCAGAAGTCAGACCAGTGGGCTCCCTGTGGTAATTTTATCTCTTTCATGTTGTCCACATCTCGCGGGAGCCCACGAGAAGTTCACATATGAGGTCCTGGGAATTATTTGACACTGTCCTGGGATCTTGTAGCTGACAGGGCCTGCTCATTTCCCAGCTGGCTTTGCTATGCCCCACCTACTTCCTATATTGCTCACCAACTCCATGGTACAAACAAAATGGCAGATGGCCTGGTGGAGCAAAGCTGCTCACCTCACAGCAGCCAGAAAGGAGAGAGAGCCAGGAAGAGCCAGAGAGGAGAGGGCCAGGGACCAGATATATTCTTTAAGCCATGCCCCCCATAACCTGCCTTGTCCAAATAGACCCCACCTCTGAACATTTCTGCACTGGGTCTCTGAGGGACACTTCATATTTAAACCACAGAAGTAGGGACACAGCTGAGACATCTCTACTGTTCATTGCCCAAAGCAAAGAGCTGTAAGGATCCTTGAAGGAAAGACAAGAAAATGCCCTCAAGAGGTATTCATGTTGTTGCAGGTCCTTGAAGGATGCAAGTTGTCTTGGCTCTGGCGGCTCCTGGACATGTGACCTTGGGCTGATTTCTGAAGCCTCAGCCTCCTCATCACCGGTAGGGAGTAGCGGGCTTTCTACCTTACCAGTGCACACTGCACACTGCACTTCCTCACCGGGGCCTTCTCAGGTTCCAGATGCACACATCGCTTGCTCTTGCAGGATAGCAGTGCCAGACATTAGTGCCGCCCCAAGCAGCCAGTGCCTGGGAAGCTGGGTGAGTTCTGAGATGTGTATTCTGTACCATTTCCCAGAATCTCCCCTGCAGCACCCGCTCCAGCCTCCTGCAGGGCTAACCTGCCTGGGGATGTCCGTCCTGTGTTTCCACTGGCACCTGCCCACTGCCTGACTTCCCCAGTCCCTGCCCTGTTCCTTACCATCCCCACACACTACCTGAGTCTCTCATGCTTGGCTTCTGGAGGTGGGCGTTGGAGGGGAGGAGGCGCTAAAACAATGAGGGGAGAGAAGAAGAAAGATTACCGTGAGGCTATCGTCATTATGGAGCAGTGCCAGTGTGCACCGAATATGTGGGAAGTCCTGGAGTCCCTGATGCTGTCATGGGTAGGACATTAAGCATATCTGGATGAGACAGTACTTTGCTGCCTAGGGGTGAGCAGTGTAGACAGCATGCATTCGAGATGATCCAGGGAGAGTGCAGGGCCTGAAAGGGAGAGGTGTGTACCAGCCCCAGGAGAACACGGGCGATGCCATTGGGCAGCAGATGGATGGGCAGCAGCACCCATGGCCTGAGAAGAGTGGCCGGTCACAACAGGCCCTCGGACTTCTTTGGTGAGTATCTTTTCCCTTCACAACACAACTTGGTGTTCTCTCTTAGCACTGATTTGGAACTGGAGTATTTGGCAAATAAGAATAGTGGTCATCTTTCTTGTTGAGTATTGAGGTTCCGTAGGGGAGGGCAGGGTTGGTCTGCTCAGCAGTGTATCCCCTGTGCCTAGCACGTAGCTGGGCCTCTAGTAGGTCTACGGCAAATGAGCCAGTGAGTGAAAATGAAGGTACAGGCACCCAGGTGGCTAAAGCCACTTTCCTGGAAGCAGGTTGGAGCATAACAGAGTAAGGACCTCAGGAAGGGACTGGTTTGGCAGGAGTTGACAAGGGAGACTTGTAAAAAGGGAGCCTCAGGGCAACAGGCAGAGGGCTTGGCTGCTGAGTTGGAAGTCTGGGGTTTTATAACAGTAACAGGGAGCCATCGAAGGTCTTAGAGCCATGAGGTGACATGGCAGAAACAGTGTTTTAGGGAGACCCTTCTGGCATTTTGCCTGGCTGTAGAGTGGAGTTTTCATCTCCTCCAATGACACTGGGCTTCTGTAAACTTGCATGAGATTGTAGACTGGCGTTACTACCAGCACAGTGCCTGGCACATACTCACTCGGTAGTTGTTTGGCTATTCTCCTTTTATCAGTGTTGTACAAAGAAACAGATTGTAAATAAGGGAGAGCAGAAGGTGGTACCCTGAGGCTGCAGTGAAGTGGGGGATGCTGGAGCAAAGGCAAGTGCAGTGACTGCCCAGAGCTGCCCTAGCCTCCTTTTCGGAGGGAGTCCTGACCCTAGCTTCTGGGAACACCCTCAGAATGGCCTCCAGCTTAGGCGCACTGCTTCTCCCAAAGATCTGCTTTCTTTTAGGGTAACTTATATCCAGTGACCAGTCGACAGGTACACAGGTGTAACTTTCTGGTCCCAGTTCCACAAGCAGTGGCTGTTCAGGCTCCCAACAGCCAGGGCCATTTGTGGCCTTTGCAGAGACAGTGGCTCAGCCTTTCCTGTGCCTGGTCCTGCTTCCCTCCCCTTCTGAGGAGAAGCTCCTCTTGGAAGGGATGTGGAGAGCTCACCTAGAATCTCCAGCTTCCTGGGAAGTCCTGCTGTGGCAGTGGGGGAGCCAGGCAGGAGGACAGGGCCAGGAGCACCTTGGAAAGAGCCATACAGGAGACAGATGTAGGTAGCAAGACCAATGCTGCCTCGAGACCAGAAGGGCAGGATCTGAGAAAAGGCTGTTGATTTTGGCAAGGCGAGTAGGATGCCAGCAAGAATCCCAGAACAGCCTTTCCAACTATTGGCAGAAGCCGAGCGAGAAGTGACTGTGGAGTGAAGTGAAGGCTGCAGGTGCTCATGTCCTATAAACGAGCCAGGAGAGAAGATGGGCCAGGAGGGGACCCCGGAGAGGTGCCAGGTCCTGTCATGTGGCCCCACACATCAAGGATTCTCATCAGAAACTCTCTGATCACTTGTTCAGAGACATCAAATATCTCTCCAACTAGAAGATTTTAAAAGAACTATTTGGTTTTGCAGGACATAGAACCAAAGCCCCGGGGTTTTCAGTCCCTTAGCACTGAGTAGACCATGGCAACCCTGACACCACATTTTGTAAACGGAGACTGTGGTCACCCCAGCTAAGCTTCTCCCTCTCTCCCTCCTCCCTGACAAGCTCGCTAAAGTTTCCTCTTCAAGCCCAGACCACACCTCTTCCCTTCCGGCCTCCCTGGACACTCATTAATTCAACAAATATTTATTGAAACCAATAAAACCGCATCAAGTCAAAAGCAGCTCATTGGACTCCTTTTCCTCCTTCACTTCCACAACTACTTTCCGGGCTGGGACAAAGAAAGTGTAGAATAGATTTGGGCCTTGGGACTCTCCAGTGAGGCCCTCGGCCATTTCCTGATGGATTCCCACGCAGCATCGCCTTCCTCACCTACTCCCAGATTCCTCCTAAAGATGCCTGTGTAAAAGGTGGCCAGGTTTCTGTCTGGGTTTAAAACAAAGTCCAAGGCTGGAAGACAGCACAGTGGTAGAACATGTGCTTGGCACACGAGGCCCAGGGGTCAGATCCCAGCATAGGAGAGAGAGAGAGAGAGAGAACCCCAACATGTGTGTGCGCATGCACACACATGCGCGCGCACACACACACACACACACACACACACACCGGAAGTCCAGATCCTTACAACTGCTGATGGGAATGAAAACGGGTGCAAGCGCTTTGGAAAGCAGCTTGGCGGTGCATGTCTTAGAAAGTTAGACACACACTTAATATTACCAGCCCTGTGCTCTTGAGTATCCCCCAAGTGCAACGAAAGGGTATATCTACATAAAGACCCACATGTGAGGGTCTAGCCACTTAATGTGTGATAGCTGCACATTGGAACAAGCCAAGTACCCACCAATCGCTAAATGCACACACAAAACTGCAGCACATCATACAAGGGACTAGGGCTCAGGAATCAAAAGGAATGAGTTACCGTTGGCAACAACATAAAGCTCTAGAAAATGCAAACTAACCTCTAATAATAAAAAGCAGATCAGGGGTTGCCTGGTGGGGAAGCAGAGAAGTAGAAAGGAAGGGGTATCTTGGGGGAGAAAAGGCTAAATTCATTATTTTGCTTGTGGTTATAGTTACGCGGGTACACAGATATTTGAAAATTGACCATTGGACACTTTCAATATGAGTAGCAAATTGTATGCCAAATATCTCAATAAAGCTGTTTAATAGAATTTTTTAAAGCAAAGACCAGGAGAAGATGGCATCACGGCTTAGCTATCTCCTAGAGAAAGTACTGTTTCCTGGGTTGACATAAGCTGGTGTTTCGTCGTTTCCTCCTGGACACTCGGCCTCTGGGAGTATCTCTGGAGTGACACTTAACATTTTGGAACTGAGTGGATTTACTTTCCACTTGATACCTATGCTCTAAAATAGCCAACAAAGGAACATGAAGGAAATACTAGGTGTGACACACTGAAAACATGGTGGGAATGTGGGTGCTTTTCAAGAGAAAGAATGCTCCTTCCTGTTGGTGAAGCTGCCAGAGATTGGTGCATGGTCAAAACCAAGTTGAGCTTGTACGTGTCTGTAGCTATTTAAACTTTTAGAAGACTTTGTTTACTCCTTTTGGAAGAAATGTGTGTGGATGTGGCTGTAAATGAATGCGTGCTGTTTGCTGTGTCAGTGACCCCACCATTTATTTAGCTTTTCTTCAGTGACCCTCTTGTTGGAGCATTAGGTCATCTCCAATGTTGTACTGAAGTAAAATGTTTCAGTGTTTTACTTCATAGCAGATAATTTGGTCAAAAGCAGTTTCACCAGAAGCAAACTGATTAATCAGTGTGGCTGGAATGTTGAATATGTTGATAGATATCGATAATTTTCTACTATGTTTATGTAAAGAGGAAATTTTTGTATGCCAAGGAGAAGTTTTGCCTGGAATGATTTTCCAATGTTTTATGCATCTTTTAGCAAGCTCATCTTTGTTTTGTTTAATTTCATTTTAATCTTTTTTCTACTTTGCAGCATCTCCATGCTTCCAACTAAAATTATGACCTGCTTGGAATTTGATTAAGAAGAAAGCAACCTAAGCAGCCATTGCTTTAAAAATGGAAACCACCCTAGTGTTCATTAGCTCATGTCTTTTATAGAGTACTCAAAATTCATGATATGTGTGCCGGTGATTGAAAAATTAATCTTGGTTCAATTTGCTAAATCAAAACTTTCAGGAAAGCATGGTTAAATAAATAGTAAAAGAATCTGCTAGTAGAAAAAATGGTATCTCCCTCTCCCTCTCCTTCTCTCTCTCTCTCATTGGCATACTGACCACCTTTTAGTATAAACCGAAGCACACGGGTCTGCTACATCTCCTGCACATCCCAGGTAATAGTGAGCATCCCGTTTATCCTCACACTGTCCTTCGATGCCCTCCCTACTGATAGATGTAAAACTTAGTTTCTGCTGTTGCTTCTTCTTAGCCACCCAGAACATGCTCAACTGGCTGAAAGAGAATTAGAAATTTTTAATTAGAGCAAATAAAATCCCCCAATTTCTTTCTTTCTTCTTTCTTTCTTTCTTTTTTGTACCGGGGATCAAACTCGGTACTTGCACTTGAGAGGTAGGTGGTGGAACCACTGAGCTAAATCCCCAGCCCTCCAAATTTCTTAAAATAGTAAATCTTTTCTATTTTTTTAAAGCAAAACATCTATTGGTACATTTTAGATATACGTAATGATAAGATTCATCATGGGGAATTCGTACTTGTACATGATGTATCTTGTTTCTTTTTCTCCCATTCCCCTCCCCTCTCTTCGGCCCTGCTTCCCCTCCTTATTTACAAAAACCTAGTTTCCATTTTCCCTTCTATTCACTTCTTTTCATGTCCCTTTTTTCCTTTCCCCTCTCTCCCTTCCCCATTCCCCTTCCCATTTGAACATTTGCTT